GCTCCACTTCAACAATTGTGGCTAAAAGAACCCTGCACTGGGGAGAGACTATGATAGCTTATGACAAATGTTGACTTTTAATAATGCCTGTTGTGCAGCAGACTATTTCCATGAGCATTTTCAACTTACAAGTTCCTTACATTTAAATTGATGATGAATATCTACACACTTAAAACCTCAAGCTTCACAGTTGCTCAGGAAGATAACTGGATTTACAAGCAGGGTATTCTAAAGGAAAAACAACAAACAATGCTGTCCTGATTTACAATCTGTAGGATTCATAATGTTCAGGAAAATGCATAAGGGATTTGCTAGTCCTGAGTTCTCAAATCCTTTATGATACTGTACATCTGCCTCAGCTAGGGAAGGGAAAAAACCCAGAGCTTTACCAAAAGACAATTCTGCTTATAATAGTATTACACATTCCTCTGTGCACTACTCACTGTAAACAGTGTGAACTGCCAAATTAATTTTAAGGGTAAAATCCTGCCCTTTTGTAGTTAAGCACGAGAATCTTTAAGTTTTAATTACCCAAAGTGAGTTTGGGGGGAAAGTGTCTGAAATTACACAGTATCCTCTCTATTGAGATATCAGGGTTTTACCACTGCTCAAGACCATTTAGGAGGAATTTAGATTGTGGCTGGTTTTACTACAAAAGCCAAGTCAGCCTCTGGGAAAGAACATATTTTGAACTGGAAAGCTATTGAAAGGGTGGGAAGTCCATGCAAAGTACCAGAGATCTGCTTGGTGGAGACCATGAATCTTCAGGCACCCTGCAGTTAGAAAGCTGCACACTGCTGCCAAACTTGTCCACAAGAAGGAATGAAGGGAGGGGAAAAATGCAGACCTTTCTTGTGCCTTCAGCAGGACAGAGGTTTTACTGAAGATCTTAAAGTCACCATCCAGGAGACAAGCTAAGGGCTAAATTTGGGGGCATCCCCTGTGCATAGGGAAGTGAGGAAGGTGCAGGGATCTTCTTTCTCAAGATAGCCATTCAGGGGTAAGATACAACACAGATCTTGGGTTCCCTTGAGTACCGGATCGGGGGCTCAACTAGCATGCCCAGTGGCACTTCATGACTCCAAGGGAGTGTGGCTAATCATACTGGCGGTGTTGCCAGGTCTGTGTTACCCTATTCTCCTGCTGGCATCTGGCAACAAGCATACTATAGGAACAGCAGGTACTGCAACAGCAGGGGCCACTGCTCAGTGCGCTCCTTCTCTCTGAACCATTCCACCCAACATATCCACTTGCACTTCCCTCATCAGTACACCTCCACATGTGAAACCTGAATCTGTAAATGTGCCGGCCTCATCCGCTGGAAGTTCGTTGTGTATCCCTGTGATCCAGTTAATTATTTTTTCAGAATGACACTGGATCCGAATAAGCAAATCAGTTTGTTCTTTTGAAGACTAAACCCTTGTGTTGAACACCAGTATTGCCAGTGGGGGAAATAATTAGACTGGTGTCACTAAACTTTCATTGTTGTTCAAAGGCTGCTCACTTTGCTACAGGGTGGGTTCTCCATTTCAACAGATGAAAAGACATGTTCCTCTTTACTGCTGCAACTGCACACCTGGAGGTTTGGCTGGGAACATGCTCTGAAGAGTCACTTTGAATGGGTTATTTCATGGACATTTAGATCTTGTTACTGCCATGCTCTTAGATGAAATTAAACAGTTTGGCGTAACTATTAATCATTTCAGTTATTTTCATAATTCCTACTCCAAGGCAGCTTTGTATTTTTAGCTGTCTTAGTCATATCACATGGCTAAGATTTTCAGAGCAGAGTCCAAGTCAGTGACAGAAACAACTTCCTGGGAAAAGCTTATTAGCCTGTAAGCCAGAAGTATTTTCACAGTGACCACTCTTAGTCATTTTGCTGCTTCCGATTGATTGCCTTTATTGAAGGAGTAGCCAGCATACCCTGGGCAAAGTCCTAAAGAAAATAAATTAAATTAAATTAATGGAGATATCCTATCTCCTAGAACTGGAAGGGACCTTGAAAGGTCATCGAGTCCAGCCCCCTGCCTTCACTAGCAGGGCCAAGTACTGATTTTGCCCCAGATCCCTAAGTGGCCCCCTCAAGGATTGACCTCTCAACCCTGGGTCTAGCAGGCCAATGCTCAAACCACTGAGCTATCCCTCCCTCCTTTAATATATGGAGATATCCTATCTCCTAGATCTGGATAGGACCCTGAGAGGCCATCAAGTCCAGCCCCCTGCCTTCACTAGCAGAACCAAGTACTGATTTTGCCCCAGATCCCAAAGTGGCCCCCTCAAGGATTGAACTCACAACCCTGGGTCTAGCAGGCCAATGCTCAAATCACTGAGCTATCCCTCCCCCCAGAAAAAATCTGTCCTGTCTGAAATTTGGAACTAGCAACAAAAATATAGGAAGAACCCTCTTCCAAGAATCAAGGATGTTTAACGGGCCAAATCTTTACCCAAGCAAGACCCCCAACAGTCTAATCCTGAAAACAAAGGCAAATCTCCCACTGAAGTAGTGACTTAAATCTTGAAGTCTTTATCAGGGCCAGAGCTCCCTCCACACCCCAGGCTCCTGGGGAAGGCGGTCAAGGCCATGCCTCCAGCCCCCTCTAGCGTGATGTGTGCACAGGGTGCAGTTTCTGTGTTCCACCAAACACAGTGCCTGTGATTGTCTTGCAGGGGACATACAGGGTGGGGAGACTGTTTGTATCCTTGTGTCCCATGTACCTGTAAGGGCTAGGGAAAATCTGATTCCATGTCCCTGCAGCTTGCGTCGTTAGATGCTGGAAGAGAGGGGTGCGGCAGGAAAAGCAACTCCCAATAGGTCTAAGGAGGTTCAAGTTAAAATCCTACCTTGACATATGCTTTAAACTTATACCATCTATCAGTCCCACAACATGTAAATTAACCCCCCTAACACTGCCTTGTATCTGTGGAGTGACCTATAATTTACTGTACAGCATTTTATTCTCACCTCTAAATCTGGCCCAGTGGTTGTTATTCCAGTGTCTCTGAGCACTTGGTTATAGGTGTATCAGCCTGGATTTTAACACAATGCATATATATAGCAAGGCGACTACTGTGTTTGGGCAAGTGGCTGAGTTACAGTGGCTGTGGGAATTTCCTCCTTTTTGTTCATGTAACCCCCTCTCCCCCACCTTAATTTTGCAGTCATGTATTATTTAATTTTATAGGCCAAATTTTGTTCTCATTTATAATCAGTGAAAATCAGTGGAGCAACTCTGGATTTACAAAAGCATTCAGTGAGCACCATCAGGCCCAATATTCCGAACAGTTTGTCAGACCAAGTTCAGCCTTGTTGTAAGCAATGCAATGCCATAAAAATCAGTGGAGTTATATCAAGGTTGAATTTGAGTCATTCCGTGAGAGTCTGGTACAAAACTTAACAAGGCTAGGTCTGCAGTATTAGCTATGCTAACATGGCTACAGCAACATGAGCTCTTCTGTTCCAACTTTGACCCTTTTCCTTTCTGGTGGCAGATTTAGACATGTACAAAATTATTTCCAGGTGAGCTTTTTTTAATCGGAGAGCTGGTTTTTGCATTTGCAAATTGCAATAGGGTAATGCTGCCCTCTTCGTACCTTTCTGATGCAGAATGTTACAGAATTATAAAACAGCTGAGACCAATTTTGATTTAACCATCTCTTGGACAATGCAAGAGTCCAACAGTTTTGTGTGACAGAGTGAAAGACATAACTGCAAAATTAAACATGAAAGTGAACACAGGTGCCCTGCAAATATTTTCTGTTATTTTGAATTCACAATAATTAATTTTCTTCTCTGATTTCTCTCTATTTATGTAGTGCGAGAGAGACATGGATTTTAAACTTCTCAACAGCAGTGTTCTTGTGGTACCCATGGAGTGTGTATTGGCTCAAAAGTGCTTGGCTAGTTCCTTATACCCAATTTCTTTCACATAATCCTTTTCCCCAGAGGGCTGTTTTTGAGATTATTTGAAAATAAGTATAATTTATACTTCTGTAACAGCTTTCATCTGAAGGGTACCAAAGCCTTTGCAAAAGTGGGTGGTATTCTCCCCATTTTACAGCTGAAGAAATTGAAGCACAATTAGGTTAAAAGCACTTTTGAAAATGCCACTAACTGTGTTTTTAGACACCTAAATACCTTTAAAAAATCTGGCTCTAAGTGACTTGCCTAAAGTTACGCAGTAAGTCACTGGAAAAGTTGTCTCCACATGTCCAGTCCCTTACTGTCACCATTAAGTATTGTGCCTCCATACACTGCATTATGAAAGAGTGATGTGAAAATGTGACTGTTGATATGGTTTACCGGCAGGAACGGGGATAACTGTGATTTTCCTCCTCACCTCCACCCCCAAAAGTAACCTGAGCAGCAAACTAATTCACTGGACTCGTGCTTATAATTGGAATATTGAATGAAGTTAGGCTCTTTCTGCTTGCAAACTGTCTGTGCTCAGCTTACAGTTTTATTGAAGTTATTCAAAATTATTAGCTGAGTCATTTCTACACATAGTTTTGTGGGTCTGTAGACTGTTAGTGAGCAGTTCTTTGTGAGTAGCTGACATCTGAGCTGTTTGATTTGTTTTTATAGGAAACATGAGACATGCTATTGCTTCTATTCCCTGCTCAGATGATCATAATTCTTAGAATCAGCTTTCTGGTCTGCATACGCACTGCTTATGAATTCAAAATTCACCTTCCTTGATACGTTCTAATATTCCTTAACATTTTCATTATCCTTGAACATTCCAGTGCGTAATCTCATTCATTAGAAAATTCATGGAAAGCAAATACAGAGGAGAGACAAACACAGTCCAAGAGTGAATTCCATTATTCATTTCAGATATTATTTGAGGGGAAATGTTTTGATACACGGGCCCAACACTCTTTATGCCAGTGTAATCTTTTATAACCCTTTGCTCATCATTATGGCATGTTCTTTCAGAGTCAACTTTGTTTTTCTTATCAAGCGCTTTTGTTTCTTGCTTTTGTTTCTGTCAAAACAGGATGTTGACATGCTGGCAGGTGAAGAGCAAGCCTGGAAAGAAATCAAAGATGCTGTAGCTAAAGTGGGAGACCCAAGGTCACAAGAAGGTATCCTTTCAGTGACAGTCAATGGCAAATGGATCTTCCTTGCTTTTACTAACAATCCATAGTGCCCACCTTGTAAGCTTTTGCACCCCATTTGGAGTAGAAATTTTTTTTCTTCAATCTTCCCTTTTTTCTTTTTTTTTTAAATGTACTCTGCATTCATTTGAATCGTAAACCAAATAATATTTTAATTGTACCAATGATTATGTCATTTTAGGGTGCTTAGCCTATACACCTCTACCTCGATATAATGCTGTCCTCGGGAGCCAAAAAATCTTACCGCGTTATAGGTGAAACCACGTTATATCGAACTTGCTTTGATCCACCGGAGTGTGCAGCCCCCCCCACCCCCCCGAGCACTGCTTTTCCGCGTTATATCCGAATTCGTGTTATATCGGGTCGCGTTATATCAAGGTAGAGGTGTAATCTCATCATGGCAGGGACTGTCTACCTCTTTATACAGCACTTACCGTAACATGACCTTGATCCTAATCAGAACCTCTAGGCACTACCCTAATATAATCCATGAGTAATTATAATACTCAAAACAATTGTTAAGCCAAAACTTAATGAGACTGCTTGTACTAATAAATCATGCTAAGGCATAATGGCAGCCTTGTAAGTGTTTAAAGACAATCACAATGACCAAGAAATGCTGCATGGGAGAAACAGAGATTTTTGTAGCTAACAATAGGCATATTGGTCTGTTTTCCTCCTTGCGCTTACTCCATTTATTTCAGTGGAGTTACACCGGCCATGAATTTAGCTCATGAACAGTGGCAGGATGCCTTGCTGTTTTCTGGCATCTTGGTACAGCTCTAGAGCTACATAGGTCAGAATCTCTGGGTGCTCCATTTTGGCCCTTCTAAAAAAGTTGTTTGTGTAGAGATGTCCTAGGCTGGAAAAGAGCAGATCGGTTTTGTACCATTATTTTCCAGAGAAGCTGACCTCCATTTGCCAAAACATAGGATTTTCTTCTAATCAGAGGAACCAATTTATTAGCACAAAGAGCAGTCACTAAGTTTTTGGTCTAACACTGGGCACAGTTCTGGCATGTTTACTCACATAGTACCTTGATTTCAGTGGGATTACTTATCTAATAAGGTGTATGACTCATTATAAATTAGAGTGGTAGAACTAGGTTCTTAGTCTTCCTTTGGCTTAAGAGAAATCGAAGACCACATAGTCATTGTAAAAGCTGTCTCTGATTTTCCGTAGTTCACTATTCAGATGCCATTAGTCAGCGGTGAAAGTAAATTAAAGGACTTACCGGTATGCTGGAGTCCTGAGCAGGGGCGTGGCCTCAAACGGAAGAGGCGGGGCCTTTAAATCACCCCTGAGGTACCAGCTGCAGAGGCGATTTAAAGGGCCCAGACCTCTGGCCACTGCTACCACAGCGGAGCTCCGGGCCCTTTAAATCGCCAATGGAGCCCTGTCACCCTTATCCCGGGGCTCCGGCAGCCTGGCTTGGGCGGCGATTTAAAGGGCCCAGGGCTCCTGCGGCGGGGATCCCTGGGCCCTTTAAATTGCCGCCTGAGCCCTGGGGTAGCGGCGGCAGGGCTCCTGTGGGGATTTAAAGGGCCAGGGGCTCCAGCCCCTGTGGGGATCCCTGGGCCCTTTATAACGCTGCCCGAGCCCCGGGGAAGCGGTGGCGGGGCTCGGGCACTTGATTTAAAGGGCCGGGACTCTGGCAGCGGGGCTCGGGTGGTGATTTAAAGGGCCGTGGGCTCCGGCCGCTTTAAATTGCCAGCCTGGGGAAGCCGGTCTGGTCCAGCATCTCTTTCACCTTTGCCGTTAGTGAATTCAAGCATAGAATAATGTGAATGTGTCCTTTGACCTGCTTTTTAGCCAGAATTGAATCAGACCTTTGATCATACAGGCATAATTTTAGACATACAATTTAAAGTGGATGCTAAATTGTTGGTACATCTAGTTGCTTGGGTAATTAAAACTATTTAAATGCCTAAAAAGTGCAGCCAGGGTATACGTGTCTAAACGGGTGCATTTGCAGGTGAAATTAAATGTGCCTCAATTTAATTGTAGGAGCAAAATTGTATATGCAAAGTAAAATTGTGGGCCATTCTGACCTTTTGCTGGGGTCATTAACCAAAAGTATTCATTTGAGCTGATATGTTGGTATTTAAAAATGTAACTGAAATTGTCGTAGCAAAAGGTGTCAGGACCATTTTAGAAAAGCAATCTCAGCTGTTTATTTATTTGATTTTTCTCTTAGGGATGTGCCACCTGAAATGTTTAATCTCTCTTCTCATCAAGTCCCAGTGTTGCAGCAGTGTAAAATTTTGTCTTCTGCAATATCAGAAGACCGGGCTTGACGGATACATTTGTCCATTCACCAATAGTTAGTAGGAAACTTTCCCTGCAAAGTGGGACATTTACCCATCAATTTCTGCAAATGTTACACTTTCTTTTCAAACAAACAAAAGAGTTTTTAGAATTTAGGGTTGGGAAAGTTAGCACCTTCCAAATCTGCACAGAGATACCCTTAAACAACAAATGTCCCATATTCATGATTAAGCACACAAACTGAGCAGTCAAAGCTGAGCACAGGGCAATTACTGTGGCAATGGGGAAAAGGAATCCTTCTCTATCCCAGATCACTGCACAATGGCTGCTACTCAAGCCGAAGTTACAATTGGGACAGCTAATTTCTCCATTGCACTCGAACTGCTGACTTCAGGTTTTCTGGCTTGTGATTATGCACTTTACCAGCCAGAATTTGGCCTCAGGAGGTTTGGAAGATTAGACTTTTCATATTAGATTCTACAGAATATATGAAACAATATCTTGAGACATGAAAACATCTTGAGTGATGCTGAGCATCAGCTAAGATGTTGATCTCTCTGGAGTGTCAATGTTTTATGCTTACTACAAACATTTTATCAAGTGAAAATCATCTTGCTTTCTCCTGTTCATATTCTATCCTTAATCAGCCATAAAGAATACAGTGGTGTATGCCTGAGAGAGAAAGATTCAGGGTATGTCTTCACTAGCAACGTTAAAGCGCTACTGCAGCAGGCTGTGTAGTCGTGGCACCGGTAAAAAAAAAAAAAAACCCTATGAGAGGAGTAGCTACCCAGCGCTGGTGCACTGTCTACACTGCCACTTTACAGCGCTGAATCTTGCAGTGCTCGGGGGGTGGGTTTCACCCCCCTGAGTGAGAAATTTGCAGCGCTGTAAAGTGGCAGTGTAGACAAGGCCTAAGCTACATATCTGAAATGACTGTATCTAGCCCTTAAAAAGAGTTTTTATAAAGGATTCTATATTAAATTAACATCATTATTAATATTATGCTAATATTTTCTCAACAGGCGTAGTGTAGGAATTCTTGTCAAAGTACTGTTTGATATACCTGTTTTAGTGTTACTCTTTTTAATTAACATTTCAATACACACCTCTACCCCGATATAACGCGGTAAAGCAATGCTCCGGGGTGGCGGGGCTGCGCACTCCGGCTGATCAAAGCAAGTTCGATATAACACGGTTTCACCTATAACGCGGTAAGATTTTTTGGCTCCCAAGGACAACGTTATATCGAGGTAGAAGTGTAGTTCCTGAATCTTGTGTGAGAAATCAATATTCATAAATCACATCATTGTTGGCAAATAAAATAATGATACATTTCTTCCCTAATAAAGTGCTTTCTATCTAAGGGTCTCAAAGCACTTAACAAACAATTAATTTAATCTCACACTAACCATGCCTTATAGGTGAGTATTATTGATCCTGATTCAGCAAAGCACTTAGGCATGTTGTTAAATTTAAGTACATGAGTGTTTCCATGGTCAGGTAAAACTCATTCCCTCACCCTGGGAGTACTCATGGAGTGCTTGAGTGCACTGCTGGAATGGGGCCTGTGCTACTTTTCAGCATTGGCATGAGTGTGGACCTGTGACCCCCTGACCTGATCGTAGGGGAGTTTGTTTTGCAAGATTAAACTATACATTATTTGCTAAGCAATACTAAAATGCTTTAAATAGTAAAAATGGAAACCATTACAGCTGTTATGACAGTAGGGAAACATAAAATATATACATATTAATATTTAAAGTAGATTTTACGCAATAGGTTTGAGGCCTGTAGGCCTGAGGGTTAGCATGAATGCTTGACATTCATAAGATTTAGCAATATATAGCTTGTGATAAATAAGTAAACCAACAGAAGAACAAGTATATGTATATTATAAGTATATGTAACCAGGGAGCTAACTGCATTGATGTATCACGACTACTGGGAAGCGTATTGACGAAAATATTTTGTGTAAGCAGTTAGAACCTTAATTATGGTTCCTTGGAATTCCACACATGGACAGGGGTTGAGTCTTGATCAAACATTGTCCCAGCCATGTGTGAGTGTAAGAGAAAAGGTGTATAAAAATGGTGTTTGCTTGACCCTAGTTGAGTACATGGGGATTGACAAGATGATGCAAGCTGCACTGTCACCTCCACTTACTACTTTCTTCTGTATTTGTTTTCAGTGGTCTCTAGGAGTTTGTGAATATGATAACACTACATATCTTTATGTTGTATGTATCTTTTTGTGGAAATGCATTAATACTTTGGGTTATTTGGGTTTTAAATTAAGTCTTCACGTCTATATTTATGTTACTCACCAAACTCACTTATTATAAAAGCTTTGTCTCCACCTGAGTAAAGAACCTGTCATTAGTGACATGTGCAATTTGCCTTCTGAATTAATCAAAGGCTACAAGAGGTTAAATAAATTGTGAAGCACTTTGAGATTCTTGGATGGAAAGTGCTATATAAGTGCACAGTATTATTATTTTGTTTGCCAGGGTATACGTTGGTATATATGACCTCAGTGGGATTGCTCACATGCTAAAGTTAAGAATATGCCTAAGTGCTTTACTGGATCAAGGCCATAGTATCCATTTTACAGATGAAAAAGCTGAAAACTAGGTCTGATTCTCTGTTTGCTTTTACATGGGCTTTATGCTAGTGTAAGTCCATTAACTATCAAGGAGTCATTTGTGATTTACACTAGTGTAAGTGAAAGGAGAATAGGTTAAGTAACTTCAATACATGATGAAGATCAGAGTGGTTTGCAATAGTGAATGCCTCATTCATTTGAATGTGAATCCCAATTCACTTTTCCAACATACCTTCTTGTACTGGAAATTAAACCTTCTTGTATTGGAAATTAAAATATTCTTTCTCACCAAGATCCTTAAACCTAAGCGACAATCAGACAGTGGAACTGCAATGTTTTCTCTGTTATCCATGAAACCTGCAGTGCCGCTTCTCTGACACAGCCAATTAGCTCACTGACAAAACCTTGCTCTCCAGAACTGTTTCAAATAAAAAGAAAATTAGGTATCTGCAGGCTCAGTTTTAATTTCACGAGAACACTGAAGAAATCACTGCAACTAGGAAAGGTGTTTAAGAAAATAATAATGTTTCAAATAGCCAAAGAATAATTGTAGCGGGGTTTTGCTTCAGTTATATATTAAAATAATAATAATACATCCTCTCATCTTGTCACCTTTCCTTTACTCCTTACCACTCAAAATGCAGCCTTCGTTAGAAGACGGTTTTGTTATCTGTAAACAAAATTTAGTTACCTGAGGTACCACTTAGGTTTTTTTAAGTATGTTTTCAGGAGTTGAAACAGAGCCTGGAATAATGGGATCTCTTTTATCTTAATGCCCCGGAGCTCTTATTCCTTGCTAACAACATTGAAACTTGTATTTTTTGTTTGATGAAGAAGATGAATCCTTAACTAAGGTTAATAACAGAGTGGGAGCAGGTTCTGGCAATGTGCCAGGCTCTTCTAAATAACAATGCAGATCGTCTTCCAGACACAAACATCTATCTGCTGAAAATGCTTGACTGCGCCATGGATGCCTGTATTAATCTCAGACGTTGGGAGGAAGCCTTGCTTTACGGCAACAGGACTCTAAAACCATACAGGTAAGAGTTGTGATGACAGTGGTTTATTCAACTGTCCTACAGGGATGGTCTGTTTATTAAAGCTAGTATTTCCCCCCCCTCCCCCCGCTCTCCCCCGGGAGACCATTCAGTTAAGGCTTATCACTGTTATTCCTGAAAGTGCTTTGGTGCACACCTTCAACCTCAATTTCCCAGTGTGCTTTCTGGATTAGCATATGAAATAAAATATCCATTCTGCTTGGATAGTCAATAGGACAGGATGTGAAATATTAATGGAAACCACAGCAGCAGCTCTGATTAGCCACAGTAGCCTTTGTCAACATCTGATCTTTTTATAAGCACATCACACCCATCATTCCATCACCAAAAAATCACTTGTTGGTAGAGACTATCGCCGTGGGAGCTCCTGTGTTTGAAATTAAGGGTGATGGAATTAATGTAAATGAATTAATATGAAGTGTGAAGGAAATAATAATGAATAGCCCAATGTTTATTTCATTGACATCAAGAGGCTGAGGTGGTCGTGCCCCTCCCTGGTTGCCAGCGCTGGTTCTTGTGTTAAATGCAGGGGGAGATTCTGAGGGCATTGGCAATATGTGTACATTGTGGCTCTGGCAGCAGCTCTGGCTGCCATGTCCATCTGACCCTCTGGCTCTGAATTCAGGAGGCTAGCTGGAGTCTCTGCTGCAGCTGCAACATCCACACAGCTGTTTTTCATGCACTAGCTCCACCCCCACTAGTGTAGAGACTACACTGTCTGTCTACACAGTCTGGGAGGCTCACTCCAAGCTGCAGTGTAGACATACACTCATAAGCCAACAGAAGGTGCTATGGCTGATCCTGCTTTATGTGGGTAAGGTTTGGGATTCATTGGGTCCCAGAGCTGTCGAACAGCTCTGGGCAGTCTGGTGGAGGAGAGATGGGGAAGGAGCTAGCATGGCTGGCATTGGCCTGTGGCTCCACTGCTGATGCCAGGTCTTTTGATTCTGAATGTGGTGAGTGTTCACAAGTAAATGAAGTGCCTGTGTAGACACTACACCGTCTGTGCTGGCCCTGTGCGTGGTGTAATGCATTACAGCTGTGTAAACTGAAAATGCAGTTTTTCATTACAGTGTCTATTTCTTCTCTTAGTCCTGCCTCATCATGTGATATTGCAGCACACAATGAGGCTCCGTGACTGCCGTGAAATGTCTGGGGCATGGAAATGCAAAACAATGCATGCTGCTGCGAACATGAATATCTCACACCCGGCACATCTTTGATTTCAGTAGGCTACTGACAATGTTCGGCATTTTGCTTGGGAAACTGTCCCACTAGCATACTACCTCTGAATAACAGGCTTTGTCTACACCTACACACCTTTTAGCGACACAGCTGTGCCACTAAAAGGCGCACAGTGTAGCTGCCTATTGTCGGCAAGAGAGACCTCTTCTGCCAACAAAAACCGTCCACCTCCCATGAGTGGCAGCAGCACTCTCCTGCCGACAAAGCGCTGTTCACACCCGTGCTTTTTGTCGGCAAAACTTTTGTCATTCGGGAGCGGGGGGGAAGGCTAACACCCCTGAATGACAAAAGTTTTGCTGACGAAGTTCCAGTGTAGACAAAGCCTTAGACAGGGACTTGAGGTGCATCACAGCACCATATTGTAAGAAGTGCTTCCTCCATATATTATAAGAAGCAAAAGGTTTGCATAAGTTGTGGGTTGCAAGAGTGGCAGAAACCATACATCTGTAATGGCCATGACTTGTTATAACAAGAGGACATGAGTGCTTTGAAACACCCAAACTTCTTAAGGGTGAAAATCATCCCTGTTCAGTGGGCCAGCACAAACTACATGACCACACAAGTCCCACTTAACCTTTCAAAATAGGGCTTAAGTGGAACTTGAGTAAGGCATAGGTATTGCACCAGCTCTCTGCGCAGGAGCAAATTTCACCCCAACTAAATGCAATGCCCATTTGAATGTTCACTTAAAAAATCCTCCCTTGTCTTTTCCCCCTGAACCTATTAACAATGACTGTCAGGCCAGCCGTACTAAGTGGGTTTCTCCATATATTTCACAGCATAAAGATTACAGTAAGACAGACTGCAATTTCACTGGGTCTTTTCATAAACCTTCCCCTGTTTGTTTTCTGGGGTATGCTCTAGTGTTCAAACCACTTAATACAGTAGGGTTGTTTTTTCCCCCACCCTATACATTCAGCTAAAGTGTCTTTTGTGAAATGTTACTTGCATGAGAAATTTGACCTCTTTTGTACCTCAAGGAAGTTGCCTTTATTCTTCCCAGATCCGAAAGCATTTTCTGAAGAGAGACGTTTTCAGTTTTACTTTATTTCTTTTTACCTTCAAGCCATCACTACGAGCTTTAACACACCTGACAAAAAAATCCTCAGTTTCTCATTACAACAAATTGCGCCCAACGCAGCAGGAGAGAAAATCCTAGGAAATCTTCTGGGATACATTGAATTTCTCCTGTTGAATCAATCTACTGCTTGGCTGCTCCTGCAGTTTCATTACAGCTATCTATTTTCCTTTTCTCAGGTCTGGAAAAAATATTCATACTGTTCTCCACAGGGATCACTGAAACACTCAAGCAGTCCGTATATATGGGCAATGATTGCTACAATGGTAAAAGGCTCTAAAGAACTGGTCAAAAACAATTTTAATTTTAAATAATGTGTTTATTGTGTGTGTCCCATTATTTAACCAGCAGGATTAATATTCGCTGCTGCATGCTCGATGCTGTTCTTAATGTATATTTTCACTACAATAGTTACTTAATTTTCAGAATCATCCAGTTTATGCAACTGGCACAGACAGTTGGCTAACCTGCCTAAAAAACGATTTATCAAACGTATATATTCAATAGCTACCTTCAAGTTGTAAGGGATTGTAATATTTTATAAAAAATAGTGTCTGGGTGCTGCTGAATATTTCTAGATCTTTGCAAAGAGAGAGGAGAGCTGACAGCTGTCAAAATGAAAAGCTACTGATTAGTTTGCCCTAAACCATAATTGTCCATAATTTGTTGAAACCTACAACATATACTTTCACTGAACAGTCTAAGCCAAACAATTTTACACCGCTTTTCATGTAAATTCCAGAGTAACAATTTGTCTGTCCAAGAACCTTAACGAAAGTTAACAGATATTTACTTAAATGAAAACCACCCCATATCACGGTCAGCACTCAACAGCTTGCAAAAATAAACTTCCTTACAAAAATCCTCATGAGCCCTAACCACAAAAATAACAGAATATCAACAAGAAGTGCTAGTCAGGTTTGTCATGTCTCACTTAACACATTCACTCTCAGTTTTCACTCCTACTCATAAAGGGCCTGATCTGAGGTACTTACTCAGGCAAACTCGTACTAAATTAAATCTGAGAAAGGACCTCAGGATTTGGCCCATAACTACAATCGAATCACATATGCTCAGTCTACCTCAAGCATCCTGTAGTTAACTCCAGACAAATACTGGAAGTATGCATAGGCAGTGCCAATAAGCACCTGGTATAAAAATCTGCTACATGACATTGGCTGTAGCTAAATGGGGGGGAAGTTAGGTTACGGCACGGACATATTGGACTTAAGATGCAAGATATGCAGGGTAAAATCTTGTTCCCCCCTCTGAATCTGGAGAGGGCTGCAGGTTCTGTTGCAGAGGCCCTGAATCAGCAAAGCACTTACACACATACTTATGTTCATCCCTATTCATCACTTAATCATGTGCTTAACTTTAAGGTCCCATTCCCTGCAGATGGACCTGCTGCTAGGGTGACCAGACGTCCCGATAAAATCAGGACTGTCCCGATATTTAGGTGTTTGTCCCGTGTCCCGATATTTCGCTCCGCCGGCAGCACTGTTTTGGGTTTTTTTGCTCCGTCGGCAGCACTCGGCTTTTTTTTTTTTTTCCCCCCCCCGCCGGCGGACCCCCCCCCCCCCCCCCAATGTGTCCCAATATTGTCTTCCTCTCCTCTGGTCACCCTACCTGCTGCTATTATCTTGGTCAACAATCCATTGTCCCCTAGGCAGCAGCATTAGGGGTTATTGCAGACTCAGGGCTGTACAGTCTCGGGGTTGAGGGGAGCAAATACCTTTTGTCCCAAGGCCAGTGATTCAGTCTTTGTGGGGAATGAGGAGAGAGGATTTCAATTGGATTTCAAGTCTGTCTAAAGAGAGAGCTGTTACTTCAAAGCTGGACTGGAGAATATCGCATTAAACTGCCACTGAGTCTATGCACACAAACAAGAGACACTTGTGCATAGAGCAGAGCACAGCAGGACTCAGAATATTTTCTGAACAGATTGTTGAATTTTCATGAAGTATTAATGAAATGTAGAGCAGATACTTCTCATTTAGAATTCTCATCTAGCAAGTTTGCCAGATCCTGGTCTTTAAATATCTCAACTAAATCAGCAGACAGATGAATAAATTTATGATTAATACAGTTTCTTCTCCACAAACCATCTTTATGTAAAAAGCTGAGTAGAAATGAGTAGCTTTGGAACATACTGCTCTAGAAATAGTCACTGAGTTTATCTTTTCTTTTAAAGCCTCCAGGAAGGCTCCATGGTAAAAATGTCATTTTTTTATTTGATTGATTTTTCTCTTCATTTAATGTGCCTTACAAATAAGCCCTGCACTTTGATGTGTGTGTCTTTTGTAATAAGTGTGTGATAGATGCAGTGGCTAAAGACAGTTAAAATAAAACTGTGTTTCTACTCTTGATGTAGTCTACAGGATTTGTAGCTGAGAGACAAAGATTCCCCAGTATAACATGGAATTAAGAGGCGCACTGCCTGTACTTTCTACTAAAAGTCAATCCTCCAAGAATACTGCAATGAAGCAAACTGTTGAGATACATAGCACCACTAGGGGATGCTGGTGCTTAAGGGTTTAAGTCTAGCAGCCAATGGGCATCTTGTGAATGTGGGAGGTTCCAAAGAGAGTTGTGATGGACTGGAGAATATGTGAACATATTGATAGTTCAGTGAACAAAGTTCAGTGGTATTGTCTTG